CGAGCCTGGGCCGGTGTGGCCCGTTTCCCATGGGGTCGGTTCGGAGCTGGGAGACCGGAGTAATAATCCTGCACCTGGTGCTCGGCGCGGGCTTGGGATCTTACGTGCTCCACGTGGATGTGTCGCAGTTTGAAAGGCCCCTGAAGCACTTCTGGAAAAGCACTGGCTTCTGGTAAGCGCCCTTCGCTTTCTGAACACACCCGCATCCAACTCCAGAGAAAACTTCCTCCTGAAGTTCCTGCCGCCTGTAGGAAAGCCCGGCTGCTCTGCCTTTCCATAGTGCATTGGTGCCCCGCAGGGGGGAGTCCAGGAGGGTTTTTCTTTATGGCCTAAACAGCCCCCGCAGATAAGCTAAACCGGGCTTGTAAATTGGAGAAGGCAGGTATCTAATTCAGATAGATTTTCAGGGTCTGCTTTGCAGACGTCAAAGCATCATATCCTGTCCCCCCCTCCAGCTCCCACACTTAGCTACTGATTGCTAGTTTCTTCTGGTGCAGGGGGGTTGCACAGCTGTAGCCGAGCAGAACATGGCCCAGTATTATATTCCTAGAGCTAAGTCTCAAGCAGCAAACTGGGTCTTAGGACAGGATAGAAGATTCAGCTGAAAGCTATTTTCCCCACCCCTTTCCGGGGGCCTGTGAACATGCAGGGCCTTCTCCCAGGACAGTACATGCTGGGTTAACAGTCAGAACTCATGCATCACTTTGGTGTTTTAATTGTGCTCAAAGCCCCACACCAACCATAGTCCACCTTTCTCCTGAGCTGACCTTTTCTAGGGGCTTTTCCCACCAAGTGCACCTCTCATCCCCTCACCTTGTTTTTGCCTTAGAGACTCTACATCTGTCTTCTTGCATTGGATAAATAGTCTGCCAGTCTGAGGCATCAGAACCTGCTCCATCTTGATGGGGGTCCAGGAACCCAGCATATTGTAACAGGCTCACCTATTTACTGCCCCCTCCATGGATAGGATTGTACTGCTCTGCCTGACCCCGAAGTAGACAGTCAAGCGAATATGTGGCATCTTACAGGAGTATCTATCACATTGCCTGAGAAATGTGGGATTCCTTTTCCAGTCAAGCATCCTAGGGAGCCAGCGTTCCCAATCCACACCATTGCCCCATTACTGGTATCAGAGCAGTGCCTTGGTTACTCTGCAGCTGGAAGTCTGTGATAGGTTAAGCTGGAGATAAGGTGGGGAAGGTCTTTTATTGGGGAGATATCTTTTATTGGAGCAATTTCTATTGGTAAGAGACGAGCTACACCAAGCTCTTCCTCCGGTGTGGGAAAGGCACTCAGAGTGTCTCAGATAAATACAAGGTATTTGTGACCATGTGACCTTATTACATTATGCTGGGTTCCAGGACTTGCATGGAGATGGAGCAGGGTTCAGATGCCTCATGCTGGCAGACTATTTACAAGGTATTTAGCTGTGACACTCTGAGTGCCTTTCCCAGCCCTAAAGAAGAGCTCTATGTAAGCTCGCAAGGTCTTCTCTCTCACCAACAGAAGTTGGTCCAATAAAAGATATTGCCTTACCCACCTTGTCTCCTGAATCTCTAGGCACTGCCGGTGTTAGGAGATTGGAAAAACCTTGGAAGTGAAACTTGATAAAAATGGAAAGTGTTTTTTACTTAGACTGTTCAAATAACTCCTCTTAATTTACATACAATGTTCAACTCACACCAAGGGAACACTTGTAAGAAAGTCTGGAAGATTTTACATACTTCCCTCCCTCTCTTGAAATTAATAGCTAAGATCTCACATTTAAGATCACCCAGACAACAAGATGAGGGAAAGCTGGAGTCAACACTTGTGCTTTTAGAAATGCCAGAACATTAGAAGCACCATGGCCACCTATAAAATAAATACAGTTAACAGTTGTTTATCCATCAGAAAATAGCACAACAGGCACCTTCCCATTTTTTAATTTTGCAAGTCATCTTTAAAAGGTGTTTTTACTGCTCAGGAAGAATAGCAGATTAGCACCACTGGAAATGTGGTTTATCAAATGACCATGCACAGAGAGCAAAAAGTACAAACGTCCCTAATTTGCCAGTGTGCCTCAAGCCCAACCCAGGAGTGACTACTTCCAAGCGTGAGAGACGTAGTTCAGATTTTGGGCCTCTTCAATATGTGGCCTCTCTGCTGAGACCGAGGGCAGCGTTGATTGTGTCCGTCATGTTTCTGGCGTGGACAGTCCATGTTATTGATTGTTTAGACATTGTCAAAGACACCAACTAGTTAGTGCTAAACGCCAAGATATTTTTACTACAGTTTAAGGTTTAACTTCTGAACCAAACCATGCTATAAAAAACATTTATTTCATATTTCTAAGTATCAGAGGGGTAACCATGGATCTGTAAAAAAGCAACAGAGTCCTGTGGCACCTTATTGACTAACAGACATATTGGAGCATAAGCTTTCGTGGGTGAATACCCACTTCGTCAGATCCCATGCGTCTGACGAAGTGGGTATTCACCCACAAAAGCTTATGCTCCAATACGACACTAAGTCTATAAGGTGCCACAGGACTCTTTGTCGCTTTTTACAGATCCAGACTAACATGGTTACCCCTCTGATACTTGACACGGGGTTCCCATGGAGATTCTGGAGGGAGCTGTTCCCGTGGTCAGGCTGGTCTGTCCACATAGTGTCAAGGCAGCACCATCCGAGTATCTGAACCTGCACTCATAGATAGACATTCTAATAGTCCCAATACCAAGGTGACCAGCGATATCAACGGATCCCGCTTCTTCTTAGCCTTATCTTCCAGCACCAGGGTCTTTAGCACTGGTTCCATGGGACCTGTGCACAATATCTCACCCGACCTGGCACGGCTTGGGCAGAGAACATGTCCCTTATGAGCAGTTTGCTGCGAGGATCTGCTCTTGTGCCCACAAGAGTGTATCTTGTTCTCATGATGGGTTCTCTCCTTACTTTTAGCGCTGGCGGTTCCACACCTTGGCTCATGCTCAGAGGGGCACTGTTGGGCTGTGGGGGCCCCTGTATAGGAGGTCTCCCTGGCCAGGATCCAAGTGTGTCTGGGGGTCTAAATTAGCTGTTATCATTCAAGGAAGATCTTGGAATCATTGTGGATAGTTCTCTGAAAACATCTGCTCAGTATGCAGTGGCCATCAAAAACATTAACCAAGTTAGGAAAGATAATAAGACAGAAAATATGATAATGCCACTACATAAATTCATGGAATGCTCACACCTTGAAAAGTGCCTGCAGTTCTGGGCACCCCATCTCAAAAAAGATATATTATACCTGGAAAAGCTACAGAGAAGGGCAATAAAAATGATTAGGGGGTATGGAATGGCTTCCACATATGAGAAGAGATTAAAATGACTGGGACTATTCAGCTTAGACAAGAGACAACTAAGGAAGGATATGATAGAGGTCTATAAAATCATGAACGGTATGGAGAAAGTGAACAGGGATGTATTGTTTCACGTAACACAAGAACCAAGGGTCACTCAAAGAAATTAATAGGCTGCAGATTTAAAACAAACAAAGAAGTACTTCTTCAAACACCACATAGTCAACGTGTGGAACTCGTTGCCAGGGGATGTTGTGAAGGCCAAAAGTATAACTGGGTTAAAAAAATAATTAGGTAAATTCATGGAGAATAGGTGCATCAATGGCTATTAACCAAGATGGTGAGGGACACAATCCCATGCTCTGGGTGTCTCTAAAAGTCCAACTGCCAGAAGCTGGAACTGGACAACAGGGGATGGATCACTTGATAAATTGCCCTCTTCTGTTCATTCCCTCTGAAGCATCTGGTAGGCACTGGCTACGGTCGGAAAACATGATACTGGGCTAGATAGACCATTGGTCTGATCCAGTATGGACATTCTTATTTCTGCTATGAAGTGTCAGGCCAGCATCAGGAATGGAACTAATTGGTATGTTACTTTTAAAAACACAGTACAAACACAATAGCATCCACTATTTAAAACTAACAAAACCCAAACACAATTACTTACTTTTATCTTCCACAGAAGGACAATAAATACTACACTATGGAAATGTCAGTTCTTAAATACTCTGCATTCTAGCACATAACAGATTTATGAATGCTCTTTGAAGCACTGTCATCTACTCTATGTTTATATAGTGCCTAGCACAATGGGTCCAACCTAGTTAGCCTCTGGTTGCTACTGAAATATAAATGTTAAGTAATAATAATAGTACTCACAAGCGAAGTGTTGACATGTCTATGAAGGTACAGACTTCCCGAGCGCGTCAACAAGATCTCCTTTGCAATTTGTTTATCCGTGATCACTCCAAAGTGTATTGTTCCAAGGTAATCTGAAAGGGTACATTTTCAATTTTAATAAAATTTTGAAACACTGAAGGAGAAGAGTATGTTAATACTGTTATATCCCTTTAAACAATAATGAATTTTATCATAATAATACTTAGCAACTATGTAGTGCTTTTCACCTGTAGATCTTTAAGTACTTTACTAAGGAGGGTAACTATCACTATCTCCATTGTATAGATAGGGAAACAGAGTGGCAGAAGGCTAACCTCATGTCACACAGCAAGACATGACAAAACAAGAAACAGGAGAATTATATTGGCTTACCCCATTTGTTTATAAGAACAGAATGATCAGAAAAATAGATAAACATGATATGTTGGGGAAGAGTCAACATGGCTTTTGTAAGGTGAAATCATGCATCAAACAATCTATTAGAGTTCTTTGAAGGAGTCAGCAAGCATGTGGTTAACGGTAATCCAATTGCTAGTATATTTGGACTTTCAAAAAAACCTTTGAAAAGGTCCCACACTAAAAGCTCTTAAGCAAAGTAGGCAGTCATGGAATAAGAGAAAAGATCCTGTCATTGATCAGTAACTGGTTAAACCATAGAAAACAAAGGGTAAAAATAGTCAGTTTACACTGAAGGTGGAGTCTTCCGAAAGGTATGATGTAAGTGCATGAGGCGGGGGGGGGAGAATCGTGACAGGCACTCTGGTGTTGGTTATGATCTGGTCTATGACAACATTCATAACCTGACACTTGTCTCTCGGCATGTAAGTCCTTGCTGTGATGGACCTACCATCGAGGTAGAGGAAGATAGTGAAACCACATCATCTGCTATAGGCTGCTCCAACAGAGAACACCTTAGTAAAGACCCTGTGGGTGGCAGCAATGCCAAAAGGGAGTACTCTGTGCTGAAAGTGGTCGGGGCCAACTATGAATCTGAGAAACTGCCAGTGAGCGGGGTGAATGTCCATGTGAAAATAGGCATCCATGCTGAGAACTGTAAACCACATATCTTTTTCCAGGGATGGAATTATAATAGATGCCACCATGACCACGTGAAACTTGAGTTTGTGAATAAACTGGTTGAGATAGCAGAGGTAAAGAATGGGTCTCTAACTGCCTTTCTTTTTGTGGACTAGGAAATATGTCAACTAAAACCCCTCCCTTGCTACTGAGGAGGAACCTATTCTATCTCTCCTCGCTGTAAGAGAGATACCACTTCTTGTTTGAGAATGTTCTCATGAAAGTGGCCAGAGCGGAAGTGGGGAAGGGGGTATTTGAAGGGTAGGAACATAAACTATCATAAGGGAATTGGTCATAATTTTAACAATGATGAACAATAAGCCCAGTTCTTTTCTCAGCAACAGGACATAGGGGTGACTCCCCGGAAATCCGAAGTGCTACCGAAAGAAAGGAAGAAAAAAAACTATCTCCTGCGTAACCATGGTCAGATTTGGGCATAAAGGAATTGGCTTGTACATAGTGTGTGTTCCTAAACCACTAAATCTGATGGGAAATATCATTTCTGAGTCATAATATAACATTTTAAACATCCAATTTTCTTAATGGCAAAAATAAAGTGTCATGTGATATTTGTTTTATAATATTTATATTTTCTTTAATAAGAAACTAGTTTTAAAGTTACACCTTTTGTCCCATGTTCACATTATACGTAAAATTTTTAACTCAAATGTAAACTCGCAGAACTCCAACTCAAGCACACCAACATTTCCATTCAGCTTTAAACAATACCTACGTAAGTTAGGTACAAATATATTTATTGACTAACTCATCAACTGTTCACCTTCTACTCCTGGTGGAATTCTGCACCAAAAGAATAAAAATTCTGCGCACAATATTTTAAAATTATGCAAAATTCTGCATCTTTCATTTGTCAGAATAACACAATATAATTACACCAGTTTCAATTATTTTTGGTCATTTATTTCATAATACCTATCAGCAAGTCTATCTAACAATACAGACAACAAAAAAGATTCAGGAAATGTTTTTTGACAAATAGATTCCTTACTAGGCATATTAATACAGAACTCTGAGTTAATGATTAATTTAAACTACAATACAGAACCGTATTTCCCACACACCTCAGAAGCAACACAAAGGCTTGGGGGAGTCAGGGATAATGGAGGGAAGCAAATTGCTGTGAAGGAGCCTGGGTGTGAACTTGGAGGGCTGTTGGGTATGGGTGGAAAAAGTATGAAACATGTTTGTTTGGGGTTTTTTTGGAGGGGGGGAAGGGAGGGATTGTTAGGGAGCTTCCCCAATGCAGACCCTGGCTGACCCCTAGCCTCTCCCATTCAGTCAAATACATCTGCCCCATCCCCATGTGTCTCTGTGCCCTCACCCAGCCACTCCCTTGTCTCTATGTAGCTCTGCACCCCTCCCACATCACCATGTGTCTCTGCATCTCCCTCCCCCCATGGCCCTGTGCCTCCACTCCCATTCAGCCCCCACCTCAGTCTGTCCTCCCCCCACTAGCCCTTATGAGCCCCCTCATCCTCCAGCATCCCACAGACTCTGTCTCCTGACCTGGCCTAACAAAAAAAATAGTCATCTGTGGGGCTCATTGAATATGTGCATGCAAAGTGGCACAGAATTCCCCCAGGAGTACCCTTCAAAAGACTTATGGATTAACCAAAAGGATTTGTATTGCTTTTAATCTGGCTCAGTGAAGAAGTCTGACTTATCAAACAAAATAAGTCTGCGTACGTAACTCTATAATGTGTATTGTAGCATCATTTCAGAGTCACATTTTCTAATACAGCTACATCTTAGTACCATGTTGAACACACAAAATGTTGTTACGAACTATGAATGGTGAGAGTCACAGTTCTGGCACCATGAGATCCTTTTGACTCACTGCTGCAACATCACAGCTCAGAATTACACAAGGTACATTATGAACACACAGAAGTGATATCTCTGTGTTAAACCAAGTGATAAACCGCATAGCAGTGCCTTTATCATGAATCTCTGATGGTCTCAACTGACTCCATCCACTAGTTCGTTCCCTTCTGCCAAGACAACTGCTTTATCAGCTTTTTAAAAATAATATCTCACTGAAGCCTTCCAAAACATAAAACAAATATCACTTCCAAAGATAATGTTTTGGTTTAAACTGAAGTGAACATATTCCAGTTTTACTACGTTTCTCCTTGCCTCCCCTTGAGGCATAGTCCTAATTCAGCATAATTATGACTATGTGAACAGTCCCACTGAAGTCAACAGGGCCACTCACATGCTTGAAGTCAAGCACCTATTAGTTATGCTGCTGAATCAATAAGGGGGATCAAATATCCCAAACTCCAGCAGCTGGTTCCCACAAAGCAGTACTTTTCCAGCCACTTGGTCACAAAGAGTGGCCATCAAAAGAGTGCAGCTGCCATAACTGTCATATTTCATTACTATCATGGATCCACAGGATCGGTGCTACAGTTTTTAAACAGTCTCTTGGAGGAAACCTCTTGGAGGAAAAAGACATTTGTAATTTACACAACTAATCATAAAATCATCTAGGATTTTAGAATAGTTCAAAAAAGCCCAAACTGAAAAAGTCATTGCTGATAAACAGCAGCAGCACCGGAGATTGATGTCATTTCCAAGCAAGGAGTCAGGAAAGGAGCGTTTAAAGATATCTGTACTAGTCAAATGTAATTGTTTGTGGAGGGCAGGGAAGAGGGAGAGAAAAATTGCCAGCTAAGCAGCTTATATAAATCCAAATCTGGAACTATGAGAGTTTCCAGTTGTTAGTCACCGAAAGCAATTTATAGAAACAGCTGACAAATGGGAGTTAAAGATTCTTAAAAAGGTCACCTCAAGAAAGAATTGCATAGGCACAAACAATCCATTGGATTTAGATAAAGAATTGAAAACCTACATACTTTAGAATCTGAAATTTGAGTAGGGCTTTAGGATTGCCAAGCCACATCAGAGTGATGATGGGAAGATAACAATACCTTATAAGAAGATGATCTAAAAGTTAGTTTGCATAATATTTACAAGTAAAAATTTACTTGTAAGGTGCTTATGTTGAAAAACAAACAAATGCATATAATTTAACACACCAAATACCCTTACCTACAAGTGCATATATTCCTAAAAATGCTTTCATCACAATGGCTTCCAGGACTTACTTGGATCCCACAACTGTACTACTCCACTGCATAGAGTCAGTGTTTCATAGTATGTAGGATTCATGTGGAGTTTGGGTGACAAGACCTCAGATGTCACAGAGTTGATTCTTGGGCTAATTTAAAATTCTCATACATATCTGAAAAGCATACTATTATGGTTATAACTAATGAAAGAAGCTTTAAGTGACTAAGTCTGAGGCACTTGGGGCATCTGGACTTCACACACCAATTGGGACCTTGTCATTTTTGCTAATTATGTAAATTAGGATCCCAGATACTGAACTATTTAGTATAATTTTCAAACATATTAAGTTGCCTGTTTCACTCTTCAGAATGTTGTGTTGATGAGGTTTGTGGGGATACCTTGAAAATTGATAGAATGTTGAGTGGTGCAAGGTGTTCCTAAAACTTCAAGAACAGCTCTGGATATAAAGTACTCTTCATTGAGAAAATATTAGATTATATGAAAGGGTTACTTATAATAAATAATTGCTAGTTACTGTAAAATTGTTATTTAATTTAGGATACTTTATTTGGTAAACTGCGCACACACAATTTAAAGGATAGATAACCACTATCTATATATACGATTCACTAAAATAATCTGTTTATAATTGTAGCTTCTTACTAAACTATATCTACCTAAAAACATGAAATCTGAATAATGCTACCAGAGGGCTATACGTTGCTGAAAACTCAGGATCAGACCCATAGTAGACAAAAGAGGCAGGTGAGTACAAAACTTGAATTTCACTACAAAACTGACTTTGCTACAATGAAACAAACACAACCAGATTTTTGGAGATGTTACATCATCAGCACCAAACAGAATGGTTTCATTTCCTCCTTCTGGAAGACTTTAATGTCATTTACAACCATATGAA